GGGAAGGGGCAGGGAGGGCTTTTTTGTCATCACTACCACTAATCACCCCTTAAGTATTACCAATTTCAAAATTAAAAATAAAATTTTTAAATTTTAAAAATCAGATATTTATTAAAATTTATTTATAATTTAATTAATTAAATATATTAAGGTTGCATATCTATACAAATTGGTCACATATTAACATTAGTCATATATTTTTTTCGGTGACAAATCAAAATTTTTTATGTCACAGATTACTTGATGATCACAATTCAGAATTTTTATGGGTTACAATTTGTTCATCGATTATAAATTAAAAAATTTATAAGTCACAATTTATTTATCGGTTGCAAATCACAAATATTATAAGTCACAATTTATTATATAATCACAAATTATCAAATTATTTGTCACAAATTAACAATTTTTTTGGATCACGCATTATTTCTTAGTCACAATTTATCTTTTTCATTGATCACGAATTAACTAATTTAATGGTCACAGTTTATCAAATATTTTTGTGACCACCATTACCTCCAGCTACTACCACCATCGTCGATAGAACCACCACCTCAAACAAATCAATACATCACAGGTTGGGCTGGGCAAAACCCAACCCAACCCGCTCAACCCGATCAACTCAAACAAACCCAATCGATTTGGGTTGATTTTTTAAGTTCAATTGGGTTAGGTTAGGTTGAAAAAATATTTTTGAGGTTGGGTTGGGTTTCGGGTTATGATTTAAAACCCAAGCCAACCCGATAAATTAAAAAATATATATATCTAAGGTGAAAAAAAATCTAAATAAAGACAATAGTAAAGATATGAAAAGGACTTATAATTTATAAATGTCCATTTTTTTTATATAGATTGATTTCTATAAATATAATTTACAGATGAAATGTTATTTCATAATAAAGTAAAAATTAAGAAGATGATGATGAAATGAATAAATTCCAAAAAATTGTAAAAATAAAATAAAATAATAATAATAAATAATTCATAAATTTCAAACTTATTTATACATTATTTTTCAAAATGAATTCCTTATTGCCACGCATTTTATATAACGTGATTTTATACCGCAAGCGCACGGTGTCAAGTTTTGTAGTGTATTAAGGAATTGAAAAGTGACGAACCCACAGGGATTGATATTCGACTTCCACTGAGTACTATAATTATGTTCGCGTTTACTTTATCTAGACAATTGGATGTTAAATTGATGTTTGAATGTTAAACTAATGTCGATGAATTTAATAATGCAAGAAAAGTGAGGCAATTTCTAAAGATTAAATCAGAATTTCGTAAAGTCTAGGGAGTGATTTCACCGTATTATCAACATAATTCTCAACCCCTATGGATATTTCCATTAATTATTTTCCGAATTCATAGGCAAGAATCCTAAGTGAATTCTATTTCCCCCTCTCGAGCGTCAAATAGAACATATCTCTATATTTGAACCCCAATATTTCTATTCCAAGTTAAATTTATAAAGATTATCACGCACTTGATTCTTGTTTTACCCTCAAAGAATCGCACTTTCTCTCAAAACCTACAAATCTAGGTTATATTGTTCTTAGATCACGCCTAAATTTCCCTCTCTCGAGCGTTAAATTTAGAGCATCAATTTATTCAATTGGTGATCAAGCAACTGAAAGCATTAAATAAGAACAATACAAATCAATTCTGGAAAATTAAATGGAAATACTATAAAGAAATTAAATCATGTCTCAAATAGGTTACATCAAACCCTAGATTTAATAAATTAGTTCATGATTGAGAAGAAGAACACAATAAAATATAAATTAAATCGTATGAAGAAGGAAAAGATAAGAAAAACTCAGTTTGCTGCTTGATTCCTTCTCCAAATTCGGTGATTCTTCTCTCAGTTCGTGTATCTCTTTGCCTCTCTTTCTTCAGCCGTTCAACCCTTCAATTAGGTCTGTAAATATGTATTTATAGTCCCCTTAATTTGCATTACGAGTTGGAGTTGGGCTGGGTCGAAAATATTTCCAAAAATCGTATTTTTTCCTTTCTCGGCATACAACGCCTGGGCACTACAAAAGTGGCGCCTAGGCGCTGAGTTTCTGTCTCGTTTCAGCGTGTACAACGCCTGGGCGCTGAGTTTCTGCTTCCTTTGTGGCGCCTAGGCGCTGTGGCAAGTTTTTTTTGTTGGTTTTCTTCCTTCTTTCTTCCATCGTCATTCACGTGTATCTCGATGCTTCTTCTTGTCCATTCACCTCTATGTAAATTTGACTATTTTTCACCATTCAAACTCACCATTTCACCAAATTGGTTCACCTATAAAACAACACAAATACCTGCATCAAAACGTTCTAAATTTCTCGAAAACAACCAAATATTTCAAGCTTAAGAAGCATTAAATCAATGAGTGAAATTCACTCATCAAACACCCCCAAATTTAAGATTTTGCTAGTCCTCGAGCAAATACTAAACCAAAGAAAATCATTGACAAACACAAGCACAATTAAAATCATGCACGATCACTTAAAAATAAATTTCGTTAGATGCCTTGCCTTCATGGCTCAAGGTTAAAAATATAGCATCACCTGCAAGAATTACTTCAAAACTATAATGCATAAGTCAAATTCTCGCCTATTCAATGCAAAAGGGTGTGTGTGTGGAGAGTTAAGCATAACGCTGTGCCATAATAAGTTGACCCAATTCCCAACCTTAAAAGTCAAATATTTTCTTACCTCGCTCGTGGGATTCACACACCTCCAAACTTGTTCTCTTTTCACTTCTCAAGGTGGATTCTAAAATTACTTTTCAATACTAATATCTTACACCGCTCAAGTTTGGTTAGATTTCACTGATTGCAGTTCAACATATCGACAAATGAGGACTCTCCTTATTTTTGACTGCTTCAACTTCTAGGAATCAACCAAGTTACCAACCCCTTATCAAAAGTCCAATCCTCTAAAACAAGCGTTCGGGGCTTAATAGAGGCATTTGATTTCCACATTTTCATTTTATTATTATTATTTTTTTCATATATATAATTCTTCTTTGATCACTCTTTGTGCGGGCGTATCTCCCTTAAGCTTTCTAAATGACCCCTATAGCGAGCTTTAGGCCGATAACTCTCAAATCAGATGACTTTAGGGCACTAGATTTTAAACCCTTACAGGCTTAATCATTCGAGTCATAAAGGCTACGAAGAGACGACTCACAATGAGATTATTAAAGTTGTCTTCATTGGGATCTTTTTTTTTGTGCAATGATTAGTGCAATGCCCCTTATTAAACACCAATTCTCGGGAATCGACCTCTAACTTAAGGTTTTCACCCAGTTTTCATCCTATCAGTCTCAAACAATCCATACAAAATTTAGCAAGCACAGAGTCCACATTTCTCTCCAAGTTTCCCTACATCAACTTAATCTACCAAACTGCCTATATTTGGTTTAAGGGTAGTATGATGTTTAATGGTTGTTTGGGTTTTGCACAACGCCACAATCAATTCACGTGCAAAAATAGTTTTCGTTTCACATGATTAATAAAAAATTTAACCTAAACACATAATTCATCCATAATCCAAGAATCAACACATGGTCTCAATAATATATATCATCGCCGGCAAGGATATCTAACTCACACAAGCATGCAAAAACACGAAATAATAATATTTCTTTTGACACACAAATTAGAAATTAAAAAAAAATTGCACACAATTCAAAAAGAAAATTTCACACACAGTTCACACAAAATAAAAAATTAGCACACAAGTGGACAAGTTAACCGCTCCCCCCAAACTTGAACCAAACATTGTCCCCAATGTTAAGAAAAAGAGAAAGGAAGAGGACGTAACTGAGCAGAGACATCAAGTGTCTCCGTCGCTGTCAATGTCACGGTGAGGTGGGTCGGAGTTGCGACCGGGAAGTAGTGGTGGTTGAGGGAAAGTCCTATCCGAGTAGATAGATCCCAAAACTGCATTAAACTCATTTTGGTAACAGAACTGCTCATACATGACATTCTGCAGCGTATTCATTTGCAATTGCATCCCGCGTAACTGGGCAGCGAGGTCATTGCTCGGGTCACTAGACGAGCGGGGTCTACGCGACTGAGCTGGTCTTATCTCCACTCCCGAGGGTGTGGTACTGGTGGAGCCCTGTCGGCTCATGAACTTCCAAGCCCTGCCGGCTCGTGAACTTCCAAGCCCAACTCCTAGTGATGGGTGGTTTGGGATGCACCACATCTTCCGATGAGAATGTTATAATGCCCCCATTTTTGCACAATTCATAAATCAAGCACGGGTGCCCAAGACCGCCAGTCGTTGAACCTTTCAGGGTATGCAAAATACTATTGTGAATAACCTGACCAACATCTATGGACTTATCACATTGAATAGCATAATTGAGGATCGCACGCTCCTTCGTGACTTCACTAAGGTTGCTACTCGGGAGGAATTTGGCTTAGATGAAATGATGCCACGCTTTATGTTCAACAATCATCCCAGTGGCAGGAAAATGTAGCATGTTGTCGCCAGCCCA